AAATTTCTGAGAGCTAAGAATCAACACCAGTGTGCCACACTGAAAACTGGAGAGAGGAGCACTGGATTGTGTGAATTTTTTGTATTTTGAATTCTCCGCCCAACCATTTTTACATCACCCTCAGCATCACATTGCTGAAGCTCTCTGGACAGTTTACAACAATCCCTAAAACAAGGGAATGAAAAGCAGTACAAATATTAAATAAACTGAGAACCATTATATTTAATATTAATAAATTAAAATTATTTTAATTTGTATTAAATGGCACCGTCGCTTTATTCTTTTTGGCATCAGGTGAAGATCTTTTTATTTTCCCAGTATTTTAACAGTTAATTGGTTCTATCCTTCTTTTTATTATTATTTATCAGATGCAGTGCATTGTGTGCTGTTGTTGTTATGGTTTACTTTGTTTTTGGGTTTTTTCTAAGCCGTCCAGAGACTTTTAGTATTTGGATGGCATATTAAAAACTTTAAATAAAAATATTTTGAAAAACTTTGAGTTTTGTACTGCATCTGGTATTTGGTAAGCTGAAATTCTTTGCCCTCGTTTCTTTTAAATTTAAACAACTTGCTTCTAGTCCTTAAGGAGGTCAGAGAGCAATCCTGTGGTCCCTGGAATGGCTCCTAAAAACTCTTCCAGGTTGTAGCTGGCAGGGAGCTCTCCAAATTCAGAAAAGCAGCCTCAGAACCCCAGGAAAGGGGCTTTCCGGTGAGTAAGACGGGAGGAGAGCAGTGAAGTCTGGATGCAATTAAGCTGGCCACGTCCGGCCTCCTTCAAGGCTAAAAAGCCCGTCTAGCAAAATGGGGAAGTGAAAAATCCCTTCACGATTTCCTGCTGGCTAAAGGCCACGGCAGAAGAGATTCAGAATCCGCCCAAGTGCACAGACGCCCAAGCGATGTGTGCACCATCACAAAGGGCTGGACTTAAACCTGCACTTAAGCATAAAGCTTAAGTTGTGGGTCAAAAGCATTCATTCTTATATATCCTGCCTTTTTTCTTTTTAAAAACTCAAAGCGGCTTTCCTCCTCTCCTCCTCCTCCTCTCAATTTTATCCCCAACACAGCAACCCTGCGAGGTAGGCCAGGCTGAAAGTCTGTGCCTGGCGCATGTTGTCACACAGTGAATCCAGATTCTTGAGTCCCAGGAGAATGTTGTGCTACTCTCTGGGCTCCTTGGAAGTCTGGTAAATAGGACAGAACTGCAAAGATCAGCCTGAGCACGTGTGAAAGCCAAACCATAATGAGGGATGGCTTGGTTCCCACCCATGAATGCCAAAACCAGTATAACCTAAGCAAATATTGGCGATGTGGCTTGATGTACGACTGTTCATTTCATTTCTATACCACTCCATCGCTGATGTTGTCTGGGAGACTTTTGTGGGGTGGAATGTAGATTTCTTAGTTCAGATTCTCCCCTGACCCCCAAAATTTACGCAGAATTATAGTTAGACCATCACGCTGTACAGGTGTGGAAGTTGGCTACAGGATTCCTAGAATTTCTTCTTTGTTTAATAGATTAATATACCACAGATCACAATAAAAATACTGCATAGAAAGGTGAATATATTACAATACATTATATTATGCTTTATAATGAAATACAAACATGACATGGATAGAACATTTATATGAAGCATTAATAAAATGTTAGAACCTGCTAAAATCAGTGAGGTCCTGTAATTACAAAATGGACTTCAGTCATGGCCTTCAGGAAGGCCAACAAGTTTCTAGTCCTTATTGTGGTGGAGGTTTGAGGCTTTAAATGCAAGGAGAAGCTGATGCCTCTGACCTTGGAGGGCTTTTAGGAGCCATTGCATGGTCTCTAGGAGACATTCCAGGAACCACTGGCTGACTCCCTTGAGAATCAGGAGCAAGCAGTTTTAAATTTAAAAATTCAGCAATTTGAGGGAAACGGAACAAAACCCTTACTGCAGGCGAGTTTTATTCCTCTCTGGGGTCTAGCAGAAAGCAAAGCAAATTATGCAAAATAAATTAGGTTGCTTTGCGTAACTGATTTAAGATTGTGGTGTTTGTGTAACCTTGGTGCATAGTTTGGATGTTTCTCTGTGTGTTTTTTGTTTTAAGTCTTGGTGCCTCTTTTAGGGGTGGTTAAAACGGGAGTTCTATGAGAGGAAGAAAGTTAATTGATAGAGGAGATATCACATAAAATGACCTGCTAGTCTTTTCTTATAAATATTTAGTAACGGGAAAAAAAATGCAAGTGATACTAATTTTTAGTCAATGTGCATGGGTGAAATCACCCAGTTAAACAAAGAGGAATTTTGTCCAAATTGTGCAAGGAAAAGGCCAACACATTTTTATACAAAGAGCACACACAGAAGTCATCCACGGACACCTTTTGAACTGCAGTAAAATTGGAACAGCGTGCATTGCACTGGATTCTTTGTAAAGCAAGCAATCGAACCCAGAGACCTAAAGGTACGATCCTGCGCATATTTAGACAGGGAAAAGGTTCCAACTGCAGCCAGCCTGCATGTTTTTCTGTCTAAATGCACAGAGCATCACAGCCTAAAAAACATGTAGCCTGTGTTAAATCAAATTTAAACGTTGAAGTTGAGTATTGCAGAATGAGATACGGTTATTTTCTGAGGTTGGAAACAATACGAGATGAAAGTAACACAATTGTAAATGTTTGATCATGATTGTAAATGTTAAGAATTTTAAAAAGCTTTTCAAAAATGGCTAATTCAAATAGCAGAGGAGTCTTAATTTGCCAGGAGACTTCAGTGGGATGTTTGATATAAAACCAGGTCTCCCTTGAAAGGAATGATTGAGAGTGCTACCTCAGGATTTTTTTGGAAAAGACACACCCTTTATTTGATAGAAACAAATATTTTCTACTTTTATCTGAAAAGCTACTTCTCAATTTCAAGACGCCTACAGATTGTGTTGCATAACTGTGTTGGTTTAGCCAGAGTATTAATTATGAAATTAGATGTTAAAAGTGGAAATTATGCATATGCCTTAATTAAGTTCAGCAGTGTTGGTGTCTAAACCTTTTAATAGTTTAAACCATGTTTCCTCTTGCAAATTGGTGTAAATTGGTGTCCTGCAACCGTTGGTCAATGGTCTTCCTGGCCCAATTCTACTCTTGGATGATTCGTATGCATTATTATTCCTGTTTCTGAAACTTAATGACTTTAGGGAGCGATCCGATGCCTGTTTAGACAAACAAACAAAAAACACTAGTGCCCATTATTCTGTGTTCTGCACTCTGGGATGATCAAGAAATCATCCTGATCTTCCCCTTTGTGACAGCTTTTCAAGACTTGAAGTCAGGAGACACATGTTAGCCCAGGATATGCTGATGTCCATGACAGGACCACAGTCGGTCACCTTGAAGGTGAAATTGGTGGACCCGATTGTCAGACTCGAGCATAAGAACACCAGACCTAGGGCAAGCACTTGTGAATTGTCACTGGGGACAAGGATTTTAGGGAATGGTTCTGGCTTAGCAGGCGAGGCCCCTCTTTGCATCCTGCCACTGCCAGGGTAATTCCCAGCTGCTCCTAGCAGAGCTAGGCTAGGATTAAGCTGTGGGGATCAACTCTGGAGAGCTTGTGGCCACTCATACTAGGCTAGAGCGACCGATGGTCTAATCCAGCATGAGGCGAGCTTCCCAGGTTTCTGTCTGCATAAAATGTGCATGCAGCCTTTTTACGCACATAGCTGTGAATGTAGAAAAAATAATTACACTAGAAATAGGTGATATCTAGATCAAGAGAGGTATGACAAACGCTCTACACGACTCTGGTGCGCCCGCAATTGGAGTATTGTGCTCAGTTTTGGGCCCCTCATTACAGGAAGGATATAGCCAGGTTGGAGTCAGTGCAGCGTAGGGCCACAAGGTTGGTGGCCGGTTTGCAGGGGACGCCATGTGAGGCGAGACTGAGGGAGCTGGGTCTCTTCAGCCTGGAGAAGAGGAGACTCAGAGGGGATCTGTTGGCGACATGCAGGTATGTGAGGGGGTGTCACACGGAGGTGGGTAGAGACCTGTTCTCCCCTGCAGAGGAAGGCAGGACGCGCTCCAACAGAGCCAAGTGCAGGAAACGAAGGCTCCATTTGGATGCCAGGAAGCACTTCCTGACAGTCAGGACCCCGAGGGTGTGGAATGGGCTTCCACGGGAGGAGGTTGAGGCCCCATTGATGAGGGTGTTCAAGGATAGGCTGGACATGCACATGGTGGGCATGTTGTGAGCAGAGCCGGCTGGAGCCGGGGGTCAGACTAGATGGCCCGCGAGGCCCCTTCTGACTCGCTCTGTTTCTCTGTTTCCCTTTCCTCCTTTCTGTCTTCCTGTACCCTTAGCAACAACTCCCAGAGGGTTCAGCAAGTGCCCTTTCTCTCTGTAGCTCTTTTCTCCTGACCAGGAAAATGTCACCTTTAAAGTCCACCTGAGGATGTGGAATGGGCTTCCACGGGGGGTTGTTGAGGCCCCATTGGTGCAGGTGTTCAAGGATAGGCTGGACGTGCACATGGTGGGCATGTTGTGAGCAGAGCCGGCTGGTGCCAGGGGTCAGACTAGATGGCCTGGGAGGCCCCTTCTGACTCACTCTGTTTCTGTGTTTCTATCTTTCTGAAGTGTAAAAGATGGCATCCAGATGATCCGTAAGTCTTGTTTCATCTACTCTCCAGATACTGTTGACATGCAATTCTTTATCTTCTAGCTGGAATGGAATACATTCTTCAAGGAGAGGACCCCTCCAGTGGGGGCAACAGGCTGGCCACCCTTCCAGGGAGAGGACATGCACCTCTCCCTGGAAGTCAAAATGCAAATGGCTGCAAGGGAACAGGGAATTCCACCCAGGGACAGAATTTAGTCCTGGACGGTCTAACTGTAATGAGCAAACCAGGAAAAAAGGCCCTAATGTTTTCCTGCCCTTTTTATGATCATGGGCGTACTGGTCTGGGGATAATAGGAATTGCAGTCCAAAGCATCTAGAGAGCATCAAGTTGTGAAGACGGATATATCGATTGAAATAGTTTCAGACTTAAAACTCCCTTGGCTGATTGTGGGGCGGTAGAATTCCAGAATGCTCCTGAGTCCATCTGTTGGTGGCTGGACGCTTTGCCAAAACCTGCGTTTTTCTTTCCCCCCCTCTTCATTTTAGTTCCTAGCGGCTGTTGATGAAGATGTCCAACAATGGCCTAGAAGCAGAAGACAAGCCGCCGGCTCCCCCGATGAGAAACACCAGCACCATGATCGGGGCCGGAAGCAAAGACGTGGGCAGCTTAAACCATGGCTCGAAACCTTTGCCGCCCAATCCAGAAGAGAAGAAAAAGAGAGACCGCTTCTATCGTTCGATCTTGCCAGGAGACAAAAGTACCGTGCTTCTTTATTTATTTTCTCTGCTTTCCATGACTTTGGGTGGATTCTCCCAGGTTTGATTCAGTGGGGCTGGAAGGTTTGCACTGAATCTGGGACCGTTTTCTGTCTCGAGTCATTTCTGGGCTTCCTTTAAGGGTGGGACCACAGTCTTATTATACAGCAGATCTGGCGGTTGACTCCTGACGTGGACCCACTGCTTTCAACTCCAAGTTGGATTTCTGTGATTTTCCAGCCCACAAGAGACAGGCCAACACCACTTTGCATGTCGAAGTTTCCCGATTAAAATGCTGGCATCTCCATCAGGGCAGAGCACCATGGGCTGCAGTTCTGAGACCCTGAAATGCTACAGTCAGGCTAAACAAACACTATTGGGTTCGAGATAGGGCCACAGTGCCCGGGGATCATGGGCACTGTAGTCCAACTCCTATGAAGGGTGCTGGGTAAGGGGTGGTTACTTTACCTTACCGGGGTGGGGGCGAGTTCTGAAATTGGTTTGCTGCCTTTCATGATACAGCTCAGCTTCTGAAAGTCCCCTTGTGAATCCATGCACAGGAAAATGGGGGTCACTAAGGAAAATCAGGGGGTGGAATAATGACGTGTCCTGGCAAGCAGACAGTTTCTGAGGCCCAGTCCAGAGAGATAAATAGGAATGCAGAAAGTTCGCCAGGGTTGATGTCACTCTCAGCCTAGCCTACCTTGCAGGGTTGTTGTGAGGCTAAAAATGCCTGCAGGGCAGACCGTGTGAGTTACCCTGTACTCTTTGGAGGAGGAAGGGTAAGACGTAATACATTTAATAAAATTATACAGGAATGGAGTGGCTGATGACCTTCTGTGGATGGAATTCCCATTTTAAGCCATTCTTAAAGGCGTATCAGAAGAGAATGGAGGACCCACCTCCCTTTAAGCAACCTGGCTGTTAATATGTTTAATGTTCAGGTCATGTTGTGTGCCACTTGAAAGGTCCCAGCTCAAATATCCATGAATGCTATCAGGAGAGATTAAACACTAAATCACTGTTCAACAGGCCTTTAAATTGTTAGCCCCCAAAAGCCGATGCTTCATGCCACAGAGTGCTGTGTTTTAGCAGCAAAAGGCGATTAGGATGGTTAATATTTTAATGCGTTCAGGCTCAGACCTTGAAAGCCGTTTGGATTTGGATGAAGAAAACCATCTGTTCCTCATCTGCTCTTCTAATCCTTCCTGCATAAGAACTTAAGTGCCAGTTTATTTAACAGGGTTTGAAGGTAATTAATTTAGTTTTTAATGCCCGTGGCTGTATGCTTTTAAACTGCTTAGTGGACGCGGGCAGAGACACACAAGCCCAACAGCTTTTCAGACTATCAGGGGTTCCTGCAGAGCCGCCTCACAGAGATGACCCAAGAGCCTTGAATTTTCTGGGACCTCTTTCTTGCTGAGAAATTTTTACCCACTAGAAAATATTTCATAAATACAAAGAGTGATTGTCTCAGCCGTTGACTCTGCTGTATGCTAAGAGCTGTAGTCCAGTTCTGGGGCCACCAAGTTGGGGAAGACTGAATTGATGGGCAGAAATCCCTTGCCAGCAGCTCATGAGAGGCAGAGCTACACCTGTTGAATTTCTGCCTGCTCACAGAAACCATCAGGACAGGGAAAATCAGCAGTCATTATCTTGTGTTCTGAGCACACACCTGCCATTCGCTCTCTAAAATAAGGTAGGAAAGGCCAGGGGTACAAAGCAATGAGCTCTTTTTAATTATTTAACTGATTTTCCTTTAGTTTGCTTTTGTGAGCCAACTTAATCTTGTATGCATTGCTTTCCAAGTGGCGATGGACCTGTGTGGGCTTGACCAGTCCTGAGTTGTACAAAATGCTGCAGCTGATCTCATTGTGGAGGAGGGTAAATCTGGTCCTAGCCTCTACCTTCAGACTGCAGGTGTGGACTCACCTGGCTGCTTTTGTTCACAAAAATCTGCAAGTTTGAAAAAACCAGGAAAAGGCTAGGCTAAAACCTCCTTCTCTCTGATGTGCTAGTTTTCAGTTTGTAGAGAAGATGATATCATCATAGCTTGCCTCAGCTTTCTCTGGAGATGTTTGCCTGCAACATACAAGTATTTATAATAAAAAGTTACCCCTAGTAGGACATGCAGTAGAAACTGTTCCCTTCTTAGATTTACATGCTGCTAATCTATAATCAACCTTGCAGTTCAAAAGCATGCACATGCAAGTAGATAAAAAGGTACCTCTTCGGTGGGCAGGTAGCAGCGTTCCGTGCACCTCGGTGTTTAGTCATGCCGGCCACATTACCACGGAGACCGTCTGCGGACAAGCGCTGGCTCCCTCGGCCAGGAAACGGAGATGAGCACCGCCCCCGAGAGTCAGGCATGACTGGACTTAATGTCAAGGGGAAACCTTTACCTTTACTCTATAATCAGTCAGCCCAGGTTTCTCTCGGGCCAAACTGCTCCTGGGGAGAAAAAATGTTTCAGTGCTTTCCTCTGCAAAAAAATAAAAAAAAATAAATCATCCCTGCACGTAGAGAGCAAAGTCATTAGGGAAAAGAGTAATCTTAAAAAGGAGGGGTCTCCACTCTCCAGTGGGGATTTTTCAAAAATGCAGTGCCTCCCCAGTACAAGACAAAAGTGCTGTCTGCAGAGGAAATTGGGGATAAGCTACACCTCTCTCCTCAAATCCCAGTGCCTCCTAAATGTGCTGGACAACAAAGCCCTTTGTCCCCAGCCAAGAAATCCAAGAGCTTTGTTGGCTGGGGTTGATAGGGCTTGGAGTCCAGCACATCCGGAGGGCTCCAGGGTTTGGGGAAGGAGGTGGGGGTTGATGGCTATCCCAGAGAGGGTCTTGCTAAGTTTCTTTTTCTGCAGTGTCCTTAAAAAGGAAACAGAACCAGCTCTGGAAATACTCCTCTCTCCACCACCTTTATTTTGTATTCAAGGGAGTGCCTCCTCGTGACTTCCCTAGATCAGCTGTGCCATCCTTCTAAAATGCTGATGTTGCACCACGCAGTACGCATTAAATTCAAAGATTTGCATTAATCTGATCACAGAAGTAAGGGTTTTCTGGACTGGTTACAGCTGGCCTCCTGCGCTTTTGTGACTCCAGTTCACAGCTTGCAGATAGTTGGAATGCGAGCCCAGCCTCATCAGCCAGGCCCCAGCTAAAGTGTTTTGGTGCCGTAGGCAGAAATCCAAGCGGTGCAAACCGGCCCCCAATCCCAGGAAGAAATAATTAAAGTGACAGCTTGACACCCATTTATGGTTCCCACAATCTGTTGTCAGGATAAACCCTCTCCCTTGGTCTCAATGGAATGACCCTTCCCTTAATTTTCTTATACTCCAAGTACAAAGATTTACTTTCCTTTTCCTAGCTATTAATGCAGGCTGTACCATAATTTGTGTTCTAGCATCAAATTCTGCAACAGTCCTGTCTCCACTGGGCAGGAAATATTTTCCAGTGTACAACCAGTGCCATATTTTCATTTTGCATTGTTGCAGTGAGATCTCTCCCCCACGCCCACTTTATCGAGTGCTTTGTGTTGCATATTTATTTATTTGCAAAATTTACATGAAGACATTCAGAATGAAGCCTTCCCCAGTGGCTACAAAGATAATTAACACAATATATAAAACAGATTTTAAAATCCAATTACAAAACTTAAGAACAGCTGCAGTTTAAAATCCCAACACAACACTGTCGGCACTTCAGGGATCAAAACACAAAAGTTTTAAAGGATTTTTCAAATCTTTACGTAAATCCTTGCATTGGCCTTATGTAAATCATTTGGATAGTGACAGAATTTATTTTCCTGGGCTCCAAGATCACCACAGACGGGGACTGCAGCCAAGAAATTAAAAGACGCTTGCTCCTGGGGAGGAAAGCTATGGCCAATCTAGGCAGCATACTAAAAAGCAGAGACATCACCCTGCCAACAAAAGTGCATATAGTCCAGGCGATGGTTTTCCCAGTTGCAATGTACGGCTGTGAAAGCTGGACCAGAAGGAAGGCTGAGCGCCGAAGGATTGAGGCCTTTGAATTGTGGTGCTGGAGGAGACTCCTGCGAGTCCCTTGGACCGCAAGGCGATCAAACCGGTCAGTCCTAGAGGAGATCAACCCTGACTGCTCTTTAGAAGGCCAGATGCTAAAGATGAAACTCAAATACTTTGGCCACCCGATGAGAAGGAAGGACTCCCTGGAGAAGAGCCTAATGATGGGATCGAAAGATGGCAAAAGAAGGAGGGGATGGCAGAGAATGAGGTGGCTGGATGGAGTCACTGAAGCAGTTCGCGTGAGCTTAGGTGGACTCCGGGGGATGGTGGAGGACAGGAAGGCCTGGAGGAGTGTTGTCCATGGGGTCGCGATGGGTCGGACACGACTTTGCGACTAACAACAGCAAGAACAACAACAACAAATCATTTGGAAGAGGGTTTTCAAGGTATGGGGCCATCACTAAAAAGACTGTCTCCAGTGACCACCTGAGTAAGGGACATCACAGCAGCTGAGAACAGGTATGGGTGGATGCCCACCAAGGGCCCCCACCTTATAGCCGTCAGCTGGACTGGCTGAGGATTGTGGGAATTGTAGTTCAGCAGGTACCAGGAAGGGAGCATGTCTGCTTTAGCTGTTGATAAATCACAAGGAAGCAAATACTTCCCATAAAGCACCTGAGATCCCAAAAAAACCTTTTTATTCACTCAATATTTTTAAAGTTTTAAAAAATTTAATTCATTTTATTTATCCTCAGTTGCATTTTATCTTGCTATTTTATTTATTGGATATTTATTACTCTGTAAACTCTCCAGAGATGTTTTGTATTGGATGGGTTAGAAATATCCTAATAAAAATAATATTTTTTCTCTTTTCATTGATGGAGAAGCAAGGTGGGGCTTTCAGGGAAATCCAGGGACTCAGATTAAATGCCTTCTCCTCTGTTTGAATTACACAAATCCAGAAAGGGGGTTAAGCTGGGAGGCTCAGGTGAACTGGATAATTTCATCACCTTAGGAGCTACGTAAGGGCTGGGAGAGGCAGCTACAGGGATCTTTCCATGGTCAAACGGCCTTTCAGCCTGCTAAAATTTCTGTAAAAGTAGCGAAGGAAGGAAGGAAGGACATTTTTGCTATGAAGGCACGGTGGCTTTCTGTGTGTGCTCTTAAGGCCGGTACGTGCTGTTGGGAATAGCATGAAAAATGGGAGCGCCAAGCTTTGGCTGATGGAGTGACAAAAATATCGGCTGATTGATTAGGAGAAGCTGATTTACTGGCTGGGTCAGAAGAAAGGGAATAGATTGTGGGATTGGGTTTATTTATTTACTTATTTTTGTATTAAGAGCAGGCTCAGGGATGGAAAGAAAATATTTGAAGATGGCCTTTTTCTATTCTGGTGCTAGATATTATTTGCTGTAGTAGTAATTATACTACAAGTATTAAAGTGACTTTACTTGCACTATCTAGTTGTGATACTTACAACAACCCAGTAAGGTAAGGCAGTTTTACTGGCTTCTGTGTTGCGGGTGGGGGTGGACTGAGGCTAAGAGTGAGTAGCTTGGTGCACTAGTGATTTTGGAGCAAAGCAGAGGTTAGAAGTGGAGCCTTATTTGTAGATCTTACCCAAAGTCTTTGCAACTGTGAGTTCCCCTTGCTTTTGTGTGGCTTCTCATGTGACAGCATGATTTGGTTGGCCGCATGTAAAGATTCATTGATAAAAATGATTTTAAGACAAAGAATGGCAACTTGCCTCAATATCTCAAAAGAGGCTCTGGTACAATGAGACTTATTTAAGTCTAATGTTTATTGATTTATTTAAAACATTTTATACTGTTCCTTTTGCCAGATGGCTCTCTGGATGGTTTACAAACACTTAAAATATATGAAGCAAAACCCAACATCACAAAGAAATGAAACCAATAACTATTTCATAATATTAATCAATAAAAACAAAGCATAAAACCAATAATAGCAAGGAGCAAAATATGAAACCCATTTGTATTTTCATGGATTATCATTTGTATTAAAGATGTAAAGCCATTAAGTTTGAAAAGTTCCAGATAATTGGATGTCACTGAATGTTTCATAGAGATCACCTTTTTTAAAACTTGGTGACTTTCAGATACATTGGATTACAACTCCCATGCTGGCTGGGGAATAAGGGAACTGTAGTCCAGTGCACTTAGCTAGCATCAAATGTGTTTGGGAAGACTGCTTGAAAGTCAGGGTGGCTTTAAGTCCTATTTATTGCAATGGGTGATAGTTAGAATTAAGTTTGGTTAAATCATGCCCTAAAATGTATGCAAAACTAAGCCACATTACCTATGTAATGCAGTAGATGCTATGCTTGTTTACATTTTGTGAATAGCAGTTGCTCTTTACACAGTTGGCATTTTGGCTACAAAACTCTGGGCCCTGTCACTGGTGGGGTAAGATACAACCTTGTAAGCTAAATCATCTTAATTTGATGACTAACGGTTCATGTGAATTGCTTGCTAATGGGGTAGCGAAACCTACATGGGCTACAGAGCATGTGCAGCCTTTATTGGGTTGGGAAGTCTGTTTTCTCCGTTCTTAAGTTTTTAAAGGGATGTTTGGTACTTCTGCAAACCTCAGCATTCTCCTGCCATCTTTTCTTTCCCACCAGCCTCGTTTGGCTGCGTTTCTGTTGATGCTGCTTCACCTGAGCTCCCTCTTAGACAGCACAAAGAGTTTTGCCTCCATGCTGTGAAACCTTGCTGGTTTCCTCCACTCATCAGTTACTGCTGATGATGGTTCCCAGCCTCCAATCCTTCCTCCGATTATTATTACTACTTGTTAACTTCTGTGTTGCCCAAGAGCCAAAGCTTTCCCTATTTCCAGCAAGCCTAGAGATAATCCTCGCTCCAACCTGCCTGCATTGCTCGCTTTAGTTCTCTGCCTTTGATGCTGCCCTGTAATTAGGATTTTTTCTGGCTAATCGGGGCTGCAGGTTTGCAGAGAATCCCATGTTGGGGTTCTGCATCGGCTTCTGTGTTCCTCTGGCCTGGGGAAATCTGACTAGTTCACCACACGGTTTCAGTGTGTCTTCCGTGTCTTGTTTCCCAACTTCCTTCCATCAAGGGTGGGGGTCTGCAGGGACCAGTTCAGCATCCAGAGCTTTCTAGACCAAGGTTGGGGGATCTGGCCTGCCAGCTGCTCTTGGACTCCAGTTCCTACCTGCCCCAATCCACTTGGCCCATGATCAGAATGCTGGGAGTTGTAGTTGCATTACAGCCACGACTTCCCCCTTCCCTGCTAGAACGGCTTTTCCCAGCCTGGGGCCTTCCAGGTGGGCCTTTTGCAGAACATCTTCCAGCTCGAAGGCCAAATTAAATTTTGGAGAAGCTCTGAGGACGCCATGTTGCAGTGGGGGTGTGGCTGGAAGGATTTATTTGTCCCATTTTATTAAAAATATTTCCAGGCTGTCTTTCAGGGCAGGTGCCCTTGCACAGAAGCTTACATTAAACTGAGAATACAAAATTGGGACAATCGCACAGCAAACTTTCAGGGAACTTCACTATCAGAAGTAAAGCGTTACTAAAATTCTGGAATAAGCTGCAATTGCAGAACAGGCCAGTGGGAACGTGATCAGGAAAAAGCCAGCGAAAACCATCGGGGCTTGCAGGCTTTTCGAAAAGCCTGCCAGGATGGGGCCCGATGGACCTGTCTTAGCGACTCTTCCCAAAGGTGTGAGGCCACCACAAAGAAGACCCTTTTTGTGTACTTGCCTACCTGTTTGCCTCAACATTGAGCAAATGCGAAAAGTCTACCGTTTTTAAGTATGGGCATATTTTAACTTGATTTCCACCTTGTTCCTTTTTAAATGGAAAAATTCCTACATCTCCAAGCACTCCCCAACCAGAAGAAACATTTTGGCCTTTTGCAGTGGGGAAAAACGGTGCGAAAGTTAGGATTGATGGTTGGGAATGGGACCAAACCTGGTCCTGCCATGGGCCAGACTCGCTTGTCAGGTTGAGTTTCATCATCGCTGGCTCATTGTCTGCCTGTCTTCCGCTGCTTTGCCCCCTGTTTCAGGTTACAATCCCAAATAAACAAATCCTACAAGCATTAGATTGGAAGCAGGTTGAGGCAGGTTTTCCCTTGCACTCAGTAGAGTGCCATGTAAATACACAAGTGTGTCAGTTGAGCACTTGCTTTTCCGATAGTTCTGCCTTATTTCCCCATCCCTCCTTTTTTTCTTTTCCTTCTGACAGCCAACAAAAAGAAGGAGAAAGAACGGCCCGAAATCTCCCTCCCTTCAGACTTCGAACACACGATCCATGTCGGATTTGATGCGGTCACAGGCGAATTCACAGTAAGGCGGTGTGGATTGTGGGAGGAAAGGCTGGTGGGAAGAGGCTTCCATGGCGAGACACCACAGGCTGCCCCGATCTGCCCGGCTCTTGGTGGCTGGCAGGCAAAGCAGGGCTGAGACAAAAGGCCCCAACATGGCACCTCTGTCCATTCCATGTTGCGGGAATTGGCTCTTAGGTCCCACTTCAATACAGGGAGGGGGAGAGCATCCCCCACTGCACCCGAGGGTGTCGGGTCCCTGTGGGGTGCAGGACAGATGGATACTACACACAGGTCTGTCCCCCAGGATTGACTTGTGATTGACGGCAGGAAATTTTGGAACCCGCCGCCTGAAGCAGTTGTTAGTAGCATGTTGCATATCTATCATGCCCTTTTTCCTCTTGTGAGGAATCCCAAGACTCCCATAGCTCCGTCAGAGTCTCACAACAGTCCTGTGAGGTAGGTTAGGTTGAGGGTAAGTGACTGGTACAAAGTCACGCAGTGAGCTTCAGGGCTGAATGGGGTCTCGAACCCGGGTCTCCCAGCTCCCCAGTCCTGAGATCCAGTATGGTATGGTGGTTAGAAAGTTGGACTGGGGTTCAAGGAATTGCTTTGAATCTCCCCTGCAGAGGAAGGCAGGATGTGCTCCAACGGAGCAAAGCTCAAGGAATCCAGGTTCCATTCGGATCCCAGGAAGCACTTCCTGAAGGTTAGGACCCCGAGGGTGTGGAATGGGCTTCCACGGGAGGTCGTTGAGGCCCCATCGGTGCGGGTGTTCAAGGATAGGCTGGACGTGCACATGGCGGGCATGTCGTGAGCTGAGCCGGCTGGTGCCGGAGGTCAGACTAGATGGCCCGGGAGACCCCTTCTGACTCGCTCTGTTTCTGTGTTTCTGTGATTTCTGACATGAGTTCACTATTGGAACAGGGTTGAAAATGATTGATTGAGTGCAAGCAGTGATTGAACTGTGGCTTGTTGAATGTGATTATTATGTTGTCTGAACCCAGCTGTGCTAAGAAACCATTAGTTAACCAGAAACAAACCACAGTTCACAATGCAGGAATAAACCATGGGTTCTCTTCAGTTGTTCCTGGTCCACAAACCATGACATGTTAGTTTGGCTGCAGTTAGACAATATGTCTCAACAGTCGGTCATGATTTAATGGCATGGCTTTTTAACCAGGCATAGTCTGTGAGGACAACCCGTGGCTTGTTTTTGGGTTTGCGAACCACAAACTGCCACGGCCATTTGCGGTTAACCAACCATGGTTTGTTAGCTCGGCTGGGTTCAGACAATATGACAAGCCATGGTTCAACAACAACCCACGGTTCAAGGAGAACTTGCATTCAGCCCTTGAGTGTGGCTTGTGGGACTGTCAGAATCCAGCCACGCACACTCCAAACTCCCTTACTCACTAAGCTGTGTCTTGGCACACAGATGCTAAATGAACCAAGATGACCTTATCCACATTAGGGAAATGGTTCTGACAGAAGTTGTTCCATGTGACGGGGCGTGGTAGTGATGGCGCACTCCCTCTGGTTCACCCAGGGTATGCCGGAGCAGTGGGCCCGCCTGCTGCAGACTTCCAACATCACCAAATCGGAGCAGAAGAAAAACCCCCAGGCAGTCCTCGATGTGCTAGAATTCTACAATTCCAAAAAGACCTCCAACAGCCAGAAATACATGAGCTTCACAGGTACGTGATCTTGATCAGGTTTGTAAAACAGCAGGTGGAGAACTCTTGCTGCTGAGGAGGCATTTGATTGGCCTTGCACCAGTATAGCTATAGTGTGGGTTATTTGTTTTTTCCATGAAGTTGCATTCAAACTTGCAAGATAATGTGCATTGATCTGGGCGATAAATAAATCCATTGGACACCACAGGCTCTTTTCGTTAGGGCCGTTCCGAACCGCACAGTAGGTTGTGATTGCGGCATGCACTGCTGCCTTCTCGTTGGCTGCGGACACCTTTCTGAAGAAAGCTTCAGAAATATTTACAACTCTGCATGGAGAGAATCCTCAGAACAGGGCTTTGACCATGCTAATGCCGAAATGTGAATTCAGCTTCATGCAAGAGGCTCCATGCATGTCAACAAATCTTTATTTGGCATGAAGGACATAAAAATACACCAAGAGAACAAACTGCCGATGCTCAGCACTCCGTGTTAAGGATTCTGTGCTGGATGCTTTCTAGTAATACACTGTCCTTTGTACAACTTCATGAATACTCAGGAAAAGGGCGCTTGCTTTGTAGAAAGGAGAGGGCAACCTTCGGCCTGCAAGACTCACCTTGCTTCCTGTGGGTTTCAGTTCAGCCTGGGAGCTAAGCACTCTTTGTGGCCGCTGAGGAGGAGTGATGCAAAGAGGAATCCTTTTGTTATCTGCAATTGGAGATCAAAATACAGAATATAAACTGCTGCAGACTCCAGTTGCATGTCTAAAGGCCCATATTGGGCCCAGAAGGGATGCGAAAGCAAATGCAAGCCAGAAACATGGAGATGCCCTTTGTCATTCCCCTCCCCTCACTCTTAATAATACCTTTTTAATGTGTATGTGTTGGATACTGGGAGGGACAGGAAGGTGTTAAATTCCTAAATGCAAATCAGAAGCAAGGATCTGTAGCCGCTCTGAAAGGACAGGTGTGGTCCTGAAACAGCTGATTTTCCAGATGTAGCTATTCGACTGTGAACTTTTACTGCGTGACTCCTTTTTTTTTGCTCTTTTGATCTGAGCTGTCTTTTGTATTAATTAGACTACATGCATAGGCTGTTTGAAAAATGTGCTCTCTTTCTTCTAGATAAATCTGCAGAAGAATATACCTCCTCCAACACACTGGTAAGTTGTCTCCTGTTGCTTTAGATTACCTGCTAAAATGCAGAATCAGGTGTGCTGAGATCATTGAAGTGGGAGGATGCCTTTAATCTTTGTGTTGGGTCAAGTCCTAACATTTTATTTATTTATTTATTTAAAACATTTCTATGCCGCCCCATTCGCCGAAGCCTCGGGACGGCTCACAACATCCAGCCATTTGGTGCTTTCCAGAGACCCTTGGCCTTAAGGGGGCAACAGAGTTTGGAAGATGTAATCACAAAGGAAGTCCCACGAAAGTGTGGAATTTGCTTCTGAATCAAGCCCACATAGGAATGGCCTCTTTTCTGAGATCTTGGGCTGCTTGCCCGTGTGGCAGGAGCAGGAAATATTTTAATCCCCAAGGCCAAATTGTAAAGCAGGAAAGATGTTTGCAACAACTCCGCTCTTTGCAGGGCATTTAAAGCTTCGTTGCCTTTAAATAACCTCCTTTCTCTGATTAGAGATAACCACGAAAGAAGCCAGGAGAGCCACATTCCTGTGGTAAGGGATTCTTAGCATGCAAACCATACTGTGTTTCTAAAAGTTTCCTTCGGGCGGAGCTTGGGAAGAGATGGGGGTTCTGTCTCTGGAGAGCCATGCATATGAAGCTAATTTCCTTTACTGCATGTCAAGGTAATATTTTTACAGAAAATTGTCTCAGTCATTAATTAGCATGTGAGGTCTTCCGGGCTGAGCTGTAGAACTCCATCAGCGAGCATCCCGGAGCTGTGGTTTGGGATTTCCCTCCATGGGGAGTCCGTGTGGCTGAGGGTGGGATGAAGCGGGCCTTTCGGTCTAACATGGGCCTGCTGGGTTGTGCTAGATACCGCTGTGTTGGGTGGGACCCCTTCATCTCCCCGCACTCTGGACCACCCATTTCTTCGCCCCTTGTGGATGCTGCAGAGCACTTTCCCCAACCTGGGACCCTCCAGGGATTTTGGACTTTCATCCTCCATCAGCCAAAGCCAGCTAGTCAGGAATGCTGGGTACTGTAGTGCAAAACATCTGGTGGGTGCCAAGTGGAGGAAGGCTGCTGGAATCTTGTTGATTAAATTCGTAGGACTATGATCTTAATTCACAGGGCTGCTCCTCAGAGTACCAAGTGGCGTGCATATTATCACCAGTTGGTCCTGGCTGCTCCAGGTGTCTGTAATTCTTCCATCTTTGCAAGGGAACTTGTCTAGTGCAGGCTTGGTTGCTGCAACTGCCCAGCCCAAGCTGCCCTGAGCTCGCTTTGACCAGAGATACAGATTCTCATCAACTGCCTTTACTGCGTTAGCATGGCTTACCTGTCCAGATTAGCATCGAAGCCCCTGACCTCCCCCAGCCCAGCATCCCCCCTCCAGGTATGTTTCACTGCAGCTCCTGTCATCCCCAGGCAGCACATTTGGAGGGTTCCAAGTTCGAGAAGGCTGAAGTAGGCGTGCTTGGACTGGCGGGAGTGGTGGGAGCTGTAGTCCCAAGGCGTCCCAGGCTGGTGATGATGGGTCTGCTTGGAATAGCCCCCCCCTTTGCAAGGGCTCAGCCAGGCTTCTCCCCACACTGCCTGCAAGCGGATGCTTTGGCCTGGAGAGTCCAGGCGGACCCTGGAGCTTCTGCATACGTAGCAGGTGTTCTGTCCCTGAGCTACGGGGTCTGCCTGGCCCCTTCCTCTCTGCCCCCCAGGAGACCAGCAGGGAGGTGTTAGCACGCACAGGGAAAACGCTGAGGGAGAGAAATTGTGCCGGGCTCTTCCTCCATCTCCCACTCTCACCCACGGCTGCCGTCCTCCACTTTGCAAGCACTTCTGTGTTGCTTACGTGTGAGGACGTTTGCCTGCCATGCTAAAAACCGTTCTCCAAACGGGTGCCTTTTAAGCTCACAAACCCCAGTGCCGCCGAGATTTCTGGAATAAAATGCCAGTGCGTCGCTTCCGCCGTGCTGGTTTTTGCTTGTCTCTGAGCAGGCATGGGTTGTGGGGCCCAGCTTTTTGGCAGCCCGCCCTCTCCTAACTCGCAACCCTCTTCTGATATCTCCCACGGTATTCACAGGTTTTTCCTCATTGCTCTTGCAGGCTACTCCCAAATGAAGTTGTGGAGACTGGCTTTCACATCCTCATCTAACTGCTGTTATATTAATGTCCCCCCTGAACTCTGGGCAGTTCACACCATTAAGCACTTATGCAATTAAAACGTTTATTTAGAGAAATATGCAACATTTAATGTATAATTAAGTGGGAATAAAATACCCAAATTGGGGAAAAAAAACAAATGATAGAATATAAAACTAGTCCAGCATAAACTCACAGGTTCTGCTGGAAATAAAAGTTTTTTCACCTGCTTTTGGAAACCTAACCAGGAAGGTGCCAACCAAGCCTCCCTGGGAAGGGAGTTCCAGAGCTTTGGGGCAGCCACCGAGAAGGCCCTGCTCCACTTGAGTTGCCATTAAGTGTGCTGAGCACTTGAGAACTCTGTGGGGCAAAACCTGGTTGAAAGTAGCACGGGGCAGTGCCTGGGGTGTTTGGCTCAGGGGCCTGGCCCCTTCTCAGTAGGTGCAGCGCTCTCTGCTGATGTCACTAGCATAAAGAGCATTGTGAGAGGTGCATTACATCTCTGTGGTCCCATCGACTCCCCTCCCCTCCCAACAGATGCGCAACTGAATGGGTCACCTTCTTTAGTAAGTTGGCTTGTTTGTGTTGGCTGGATGATGGGTCGCCCTCTATCTGTATTTGATTTAGGCCAGGGAGCCTGGCTGGGGCACGGAGACAGAGAACTTGGTCGGGGGCGGGTTGCCTGGTAGTGGCACTCGTCCTTTGTGGGTGGGGGTTCCAGGTTTGATCCCTGGCACCTCCAGTTAGATGGAGGAGATGTAAGCTGCCTTGAGCCTTTTGTAGGAAAAAGGCAAGATAAATAAATAATAAAATAAAATAAAATAATAAACGTTAGGAAGACCATAAAGCAAGGGGTGGGGAAGACTCCCACTTAGGATCCTGGAGAATTGCCACCTACCTTGGTCAACATTTCTGCCTCCCTGAACATGAAGTCTGATCCAGGATAAAGGCGCTTCTGGTACTCCTCAATTTGTCTTGTGGCTGCCAACGCTCAGTAGGGATTTTGAACATCCGTTTCACCTCCGCTTCAGTGCCCACAGTGATTAATATTTATTTATTTATTTATTTATGAAATTTGTATGCCGTCCAATTACCAGCGTCTCTGGACAGCTAAGAGCATAAATAAATTAATGACCCACTCTGGGTGCAAATGCAATATTAAAATGCAATATTAAAACATATTAAAATATTGATGAAATAAAAAGGTTTTAACCTGGTGCCAAAAAACATTTAATGACGGCGCCAGGCGGACCTCTCTGGGGAGTGCATTTCATAGTTGGGGCCCCACCACAGAGAAGGCCCTCTTCCGGGTACTCTTGTCTCCTAACTTCATTATTATTATTAGTAGTAGTAGTATTAGTAGTACTTCTTTCATTTCTAGACTGGGTGGCTTACGGCAGTTCTTAAAAACATTGCAGTAAAATATGAACATTTTAAACAAACAAAATCAAGTGCTAAGGAACATTGCAGGAAGAATAGCCCTGTAAAAAAATACTGGGATGGGTGATTCCCCCCCCCCCCAAGCCCTTGGATAGCCTCATAGAGCTTGAAAAGCCTCAAAGAGCCATCTTAACCAGGGGCCAAAAGGATGACAGGTGGGCACCAGGCAGGGCTCGGGGGGGGGTCATTCCATAGATGGGGTGCCACCACAGCGAAGGCCCTCCCTCTTGTCGCTGCCCTCCAAGCCTTCCTCGGAGTTGGCTTCTGGAGGAATAATCCCCAGGTATTTAGCATCCTGCCTGTTGGATCAGAGTTGGGAAAGGCGCTCTGTCGGGTGACTATAGGATAAAACCAGCACCTTGAATTGGGCTTGGAAGCAGGTGTGCTTGGTTGAGCCGTAATTGCCACGACTTCATATCCATGCGAACGTGTCTGTCCCCGTCACTGTATTCCACCCCTCTGCAGACAAGTTTGGATTATTCACATGGCATAGATCATGCAACTACCATTTTTCTTTTCCTCTCCCTTTTGGAAGTGTGCCAGTGCCTATAACAGTTGGCTGGCAGGCAGCGATTCAACAGGTAAAGGTTACTCAGCACTTACTTTCTACACTGGGGGAGTGCTTCACCTGTTGAATATCGGGTAGCAGTGCAAACAGCCATTAACACCATTCCTTTCCCTTTCAAAGTTCAGGTAAGGCTTAAGCGCAGAGAAGAAGTGTCAGAAATGAGTCAGAGGTAGTGAGGGAGAACTGACAGGGATAAAAAAAGCCAGTGTGAAGTTGCCCTTGTTCTGTTAATGAGCTTGTTAGCTTGTTATTGGGAGAATAAAGAACTCCACACAACAACCCTCTATTTTAAATCTAAAATGAGGCTGGAAACAATGGTGAGTATGAAGTAAGCATGCTATTAAAATCATTTCTAAAATGCAGCCCTTCCAAACAATGAATACAGTTAGACACCTGCATTTAACACCCACACCTTCACAAGGCCGTCTTGCTTTGAAGCAGTTGCGTTTCTCTGCCTGCTTCTTGCACACGAGGAATGCGAGGAGCTGAGCAGGGCTCTTTGTCTTCTGCCAGCACTACATTCCTGAGTTCTGACTTTTGTCCCTTGCTTCAGACTTGGCCCAGGGTTCTAGTCCTCATGCTCTTGGAGACACCTGAATGGGGTAGGTGTAGCTTTTGCAGTTGTTTTTGGATCGCTGTCTGTTGTAGGCACCCCTTGCAGTTTGCAGCATATCCCATGGCAGGTCAGTCTTAAGTCTGTAGAACTTGTTGCAATGGAAAAAAGCCATCTTCACACATGCTCTCCTCTTCGAAAAACCCTTGACGACCTTTTATCAAGGCAGCTGGAGGACATCTACTCTGCAGAAGGGGATTTTGAGCAGCCACTCTGCTGAAGCTTGGCTTGCTTTTTCACCCCAGTGCATCCAATATGTGTTGTTGCCGTTGTGG